CGGATGCATGAAGTGAAAAATACAGGAGCAGGTATAAATACATGAAAGGATGGGGGTTGCTTTACCAAGTCTGAGGTCAGTCTAACGAGATAAATCAATTAACAGCAGGACACCAAGGGAGGAAAAATAACTTTTGAAGTGGTAGGAGAGTGGCCCATTACAGACAGTTGACACACCTTCTTGTCCTTTGTTTGGATATGGCGTCTTCCTTAGATCTTTCCGTGATGGACAGAAATAAAGTTGGTAACTTTCTGAAAGACTTTGTCCTTTCAACGTAAAAAACGAGTGCCCTTTGGAGATCCAGGGTATGAAGCATTGCTTCTCATTTGTTCCCACTAGGTTTTGGGAAGAATGATGGGAGATGGATTGGTTGATTCAAATGGAATGATGAAACTATTTTAGGTAGAAATTTGGGATGTGGTTGTAGGGTAACTTTGCTTTTGAAAAATATTGTGTATGAGGCATGTGCCATGAGGGCCTCCAGTTCTCCTACTCATCGGGTAGATGTGATAGCGACTAGAAAGGCCACCTTCATTGAAAGATGGAGAAGTGAACATGTCGTTTGTGGCTCAAAAGCCCCCCCTCCCCCAGGCATTGCAGTACCAGATCCCATGATAGAGTAGGGGCTCGTATTGCAGGATAAAGGTTACAAAGACCCTTTTATTGGTAGCGTTTTGTGGTAGGGTGTGCAAAGATCAAAAATTCATCCACTTCGTGGTGGAACGCCGTGATTGCTGTGAGGTGTGCCCTGTTAGAGCTCACTGAGAGACCAGATTTCTTGAGTTCCAACATGTAATCCAATAAAGGAGAGGTAGTTGCTATTATTTGCCTATTCTGGCACCATGTATGGAATCTCTTCCATTTGCGCAGGTTGATATATCATGTAGTAGACCTTCTGCTGTTTACCTCCTCTGAACAGATCATTTCATTGTCTCGGAACCATGGAGTTGCCATGCCTTCAGGTGTTTGATGACAAATATCATTTCTGACATATGGCCTAACAGTTGGAGGTAGGTCCTGGCCGATGTCTGTGGGCTGGCTTGCGTTATAGCAATTAGGTGGACTAGAGTGGAAGCTACAGCCTCTCTGCCCAGATTTACCAGAGGGTCAAGGTAGGCCCCCAATGAACTCCAGTCTCTGCACAGGTGTGAATGTTGATTTGTTTGTTTGTTTGTTTGTTCGTTCATTTGTAGGCGTAGCTGTGTCTTTTCGGTAGCTGCTAGGGCCCCTTCTTGAATTGAGGCTTTGAGTAAGCACTTATCATCCAGATAGGAGAATATTATGACCCCTCGTCTGCAGAGATGAGCTGCCACCACCGCAAGAACTTTTGAAAATCCCCTTGGAGCCATAGATAAGCTGAAAGGGAGTACTTTGGAGTGGAAACAATCTGTTCCCAGAGCAAATCTGAGAAACCACCTATGTGAGGGATGTATCGTTATGTGGAAATATGCATCCTGGAGGTCGAGGGCCTAGTGCTGGAATTATTGTTGCTAGCATGACCATCCTGAATCGCTGGGTCTTCCTGAATTTGTTGAGTCTTCTTAAGTCGAGAAAATCCTCCAGTTTTTTTTCTGGGTTAGAAAATAATGGCAGTAGAAACCCTTCCCTCTGTGTTGTGTTCGTACTGGTTCTACTGCGCCTAGGCATACAAGACGGGTTTACCTCCTGTCACAGTAGGTGTTCGTAAGAAAGGGTCCCTGAAGACGAATGGGGAAGGAGAGTGGGGAGGGGGGGATGAAGGTAAATTGGATGGAATAGCCAGTCTCGATTTCTAATACCCATTGTCTGATGTGATGTTTTGCCATGCTGGATGGAAAGGAATTAGATGGTCTCTGAATGGATGGATGGTGTCAGATGGGTCCAGCAATAGAAAAAGTGGAAGGTGTCTCTGGTCCTCGACCAAACCCTCAAAACTGTTGTTTAGAGGGAGGCTGCTGAGACGTTGAGGGCTGAGAAGGGATTGGTCTCCGCCTTGCAGGTCTCTGCCTCTACCTCTGAGGCTGGGTGTAGGGCACGGATCTAGATCTTTGTGTCAAGTAATACTTCCTCTGTTTTTTCTTTTGTGTAGGTGTGTATATGCCCAAGGATCTCAAAGTCACTCTGGAGTCCTTCAATGTGTGAAGGAACTCATCTGTTTTGGCTGCAAACAACTTGGGGCCTTCGAACAGGAGATCATCAACAGTTAATTGTACCTCTTTGGGAAAACCTGAGAGGTGGAGCTAGGAAGCTTGTTGCATTACTAAGACCATGACGATGGAGTGTGCCACCATGTTTGTGGAGTCCAGTGAAGTTTGTAAATCTGTGCAAGCTAGGAGTTGACCCTTGTATATGAAAGCTTTAAATTGTTCCTTTTTGTCCTCAGGTATGTGCTCAATAAAGTCAGACATTTTTGAGTAACTGGAGTGATTGTATTTGGCCATTAATGCTTATAGTTTGCAATCCTGAACTATAGGGTTGCTGAAGAGTAAACTTTACAACCAAAAAGATCCAATCTCTTGAAGTCCCTGTCATATTGGGTGGATCAGGAATGGTGTTGTTTGCTCTGCTCGTTCACGGTCTCTACCACCAGAGAGTTTGGCGTAGGATGTAAAAATAGAAATTCCATCTCCTTGGAAGGGACATAATATTTTTTTTATTCGCTCTTTTAGAGGTGGGTGGAATTGTTACTGGGGTCTGCCAGATGGTCGTGGCTGAGTCCATGAGCACCTTGTTTATTGGGAGGGCAATCTTGGAAGAGACTGAAGTCTGGAGGATGTCCAACAACTTATGTTGGGACTCCGCAGCTTTTTCCAGCGATATCTTCAGTGACTCTGCGATCCTTTTAAATAGTTCTTGGAACTGTTTAAAGTCATCCCCCATTGTGGAGAAGGGGGAATAATAGCTTCATCCAGACAGGAGAATGAAAAAGTGGCAGCTGGGGTGACTTCCTGAGTTGAAGTCTCCTCCAGTTCCTCGACTGCCTCTTCCGGAGGTTCAGAGGGTGATGGAGCATGCCTTGACCTCTCCTTGTGTGGACTGGGAGGCTTAAGATAGTGTTGGCGGTACACTGCCAATGGGTCTCAGTAAGGCCATTGTGGTGGGAATGGCATTAGTGGCAGCATCCATAGGTGTATATACCATCCTTGGGTTTCAGGTCTGGGGTGGTATTCATGTTTCTCTAGTGGACCTGGTCTGGTAGCTGTGTGGGTAGGCAAGGAGTGATGGGAGGAGTAGATTTCCTCTTCCATCATCATCATCATCATCATCATCATCCTTGTTGCTGGATAAATGAGGAGCTGATATGGGTAGTGTGGTAAGTTGGCACGGTATCAAGCATGCTGGAGTAAGGTCAATACCGATGAGTGGAGATTCCGGTGCTGAGAAGACTAAAAGGTCTTTATTTCAGACAAATTGCTGTGGTACCGAGAGCATCGGTACTGAGGAGGGTGTTTTTGGTAGTACCAGTGCCTTTACCATGGTTGCCGGTGCTGAGGATCGTGCGCTATACGCTGTGGAGGCAGAAGGTGGCGCCACAGACTTTAGCGCTGCTGCACTGCTCAGTGCCACATGTGTGAGTAGCTCCAGCAGTACAGAGGCAAGGATGGTAGGTTTCCCTTTTGTGCCTTTTTCTGAGCCAGCTCACTTAGGGTCTTTGGCTCACATGGTAACCGGATACTGGACGGTCCCGCTACCTCAGAAGTGGATGGTCTCGGTGCAGTTGGTACCAATGGGGGCTGATGGGTCAGGGATTGTCTCTTTTTGAAGGGTTCCCAAGAAGGGGAGGTCAGAACCAGTTTCTTTGTTGGAGTGCTCCTTCCTCTGAGAGAATGGTGGGGAACCTCTGTCAGATGCCACTGTTGGAGACCAGTGCCCAGGAGGGGTCCGTGATCCCAGATCGGACGCTGGACACAGAGACTTCTCCATCATGAGGAATTTTAGCTGTAGGTCCCTTGCTTTCCTGGCACAAGCCTTCAGATTGAGGCAGTGGGAGCATTTATGTGGAACGTGTGTCTCACCAAGGCAGCAGACACACTCTGAATGCCCATCAGAAACTGGGATTGACAACCGGCAAGTGAGGTAACATTTAAAATCCGACAGAGGGTCCTGTGGCACCTTTAAGACTAACAGAAGTATTGGAGCATAAGCTTTCGTGGGTGAATGCCCACTTCATCAGACGCAAGTAATGGAAATTTCCAGAGGCAGGTATAAATCAGTATCAAAAATCAGATCACATTTAAAAAATTTCATTCTGAGCTCAGTGAAAAATGAGGACCTCCAACTTTACTTTACCTTTTTAAAAGTTTTTTTTTTTTTTTTTAAAGCACTATATATAGTAAAAGCTTTGTTATCTGGCATGTTGGGGGAATAGAGCATGCTGGTTAGTCAAAAATTCCAGTTAACTAAGAGTTATATGGAGGGAGGGAGTTTGGGTGTGGTTGGTAAAGTGCCAGATAACACAGATTTTACTGTATAAAAAATTGATACCACAATGGAAGTGATTTCCATTTCTCTCTCCCTCTCTAAGATATTCAAAAATATTCACAATTCATATACTGACTTACTTCAGTAAATATCAATATTTACTGTCCCTCAAGGTAATTGACCTCATATTTTGCTTTGATTAATATTTATCTCTTAGGTAAGTAAACCTTGATGTTCAGTTTTTTTAAAAAGTGAATATTTCCTTAATATTGGTAGATCATGGTACAAATAAGTACCATCCTTCCATGATGAGGCTGTATATGTGTATTACAGATTTTAGTGAATTACATTATTGCCTCTCTGTTTCCTCCCCAATTCATGTATAAACTGGAAGGAAGAGGATAAGATTTTACATGAAGATTGTTCAAACTCACTGATCATTCAAGACCTGAATATTCTGACAACATGCTAGTATACCAGGTACCAAAGTGGGTTTTGTTGTTTTGTTTTCTAAACAACAATAGAAAAAACGTTTTGCTCATAATTTATTTTATATACACAAGTTTTAAAGGCAAATCAATACAGAAAGCTGTATTTACCTCAACATGTGTCAATGTTTGCTCATCACTTTCCTTAGTGCTGTCCTTGAAAATTGATGGGGCATTTCCATTTTTCATTTGGAAGTGTGTTTTACTCATATAGCCATCAGGAAAGTCCTGTGCTCAGAAAATACAAACCAAAAACATTTTCAGTAATCATTTAAATATGCAAAGTTCTAACTGCTACCACCATTCTACAGAATAAATAAAACACAGAATTCTGGCACCAATGCTTGGCATAATGAAGTTCTGAACCTGCTGGTAGAGGGGTCCAAACTGCATAATCTGCAGTATCCCCTGATGGCCAGTTCAGAGCAATTCTAACAGCTTTAGAGGAGGCCAACTGCCCCACTAATTAAAATAAAATGTGATACAGCTGCTAAAATAATGCATCAGTGCTAGATATCTGTGTACCCGAAGGGGTGGCACAAGAAAGCTATTGGAAAACATTGTATTGAGGTCTGGAAGAGAGTTGAGCAGCTGAGGGCATAGGTGGAAGGTGTCAGGAGACAGACAGAAAGAGCAACATAGTCAAAGTCATTTTTAGTACACCTCTACCCCGATATAACGCTGTCCTCGGGAGCCAAAAAATCTTACCGTGTTATAGGTGAAACCACGTTATATTGAACTTGCTTTGATCTGCCGGAGTGTGCAGCCCCGCCCCCCCGGAGCACTGCTTTACCGCGTTATATCCAAATTCGTGTTATATCGGGTTGCGTTATATCGGGGTAGAGGTGTATCTGACACCAAAAATTTTTTTCCCCAGGAACAGAATCATAAGACGACTATTCGAACAAAATGGCATGAACTATGTACAATTCAACCCCAGGTGGGGAAATTGTCCCATTTGCACCAAGTGGGCCTAACGTGTATTGGATGAAAATAGACTCTTCTAAGAATTAGAGTGCTGATGACATTAAAAAAAACTAACTATTAATGTTCTTAAAACTGCAACAGAGAGGAATGCCTGAAGCCCACTACCAGTAAAGCCCTTGAATGCTCATTAAAATCTAGATCTGATCTAAAACCTTTTGCATATAAAAAGACAGTTACATAATATTAAGATAACATCTATAAAAACAGTGAAAGCAGAACAGGGGTTGATGGTTAAATTAAACAAGACACTTAGCATCTCTCTCTACTGGAGGTTTCTGCCAAGTGCAGCTACATTGATGTAGTCAATGCAAACCCATAGGATAGATAAGGTGTACCGGTGTAAGAGAGGGCTCACACTGGTACCACTTACCTGTGTAAATTCACAGGTTATGTGACACCAATTCATGCCCTATTTTGCACTGGTGCAGTATATCTATAGTAAGGATTTGTACCTGCATACCTACAACCATGTAGTCACACTAAAACAAATTTCCCTAATCTTCAGCAAACTCCTAGGGTTAATTTGGATTTTTCCCTCTTGGGTTGCATAACCTCACACACAGAAGGTCAGAACTGAGGTGAGGGGACCAAATTAACCCTAAACATGCTCTCATTTTGATCATTTGGATGATTAACAATTTTCATCTATTTTTATAGATCAGCTTTTTTCATTTAAACCACATACAAGCATGATACAAGTACTTTACAACATATGGGCATTTACACCACTGCCTTGCACAGGGACCATTGCAGAGCTTCACTTCTCCATAAGGGGCATTCAAGAGGAGAGTTTGCCTCAGACAAGCACAGTTTCTGCAAGTGCACAGATCTCTGGTGTGCAGAACAGCAATCTGCTCCATCCTTTAAGAGAGAACAGCCTGGGCCTCAGACTTGGGGAAGATGAACATGGCCATGATGACCCTTCCTAGGCTTCATTCCCTTTTTACCATAGGTATTGTGATAGGTCCTTGAACAACTGCACAAGGGTGGAGAAAGACTTTTGGTGGGTTTCTCCACACCCTGATATACATCCTTTAAAATGAGTTTGTCAATTAGAAATAAGACATGGGAGAACATGTTAATAATGGATTGCTGGAAAATGCACACTCTGAAAGGCAGCAAAAATACATGGAGAACAATAAATAGTATCTGCAAGCTAAGGACTTATTTCTCAAAGAAAACAAATAAATTGGGGTTTTATTAGCTGTTTCATTACATTTTATTTTAGACAAACAAACACAGACAGCATATGTGCAACATCTGATGTAAAAGGATTCCATTCAAAACAGTCTCTGAACAAAACTCATTAATGTAGCATTAAATTGCTTGACAAGGCTGCAAATTTAACTATAATTTAACTCTTTGGTTAATCTACCATTTCTGACACAGTTTAGTTCGTTTATTCTGATCTTTAAATCAACATGTGTTCCATTCTAACACATTCATTCTGTCTTGTCTTTTCTACGATATTACAAAATATATTTAACTGCAGCATCTGTTATGGGCTATTTATGTGCTTTGTTCTTATCAAGTTTCATACCTGAAACAAGATGATAATGCTGGTTATATATATTTTTGTTAGTAAACTTTTAACACAGATATTTGAAAAATTGCCTTGCTCTTAGCTTCTCTTGCTGCCATGCTATATTTGTCTTCCCACTAAATCTCAGTGAGCCAAATTCACTGACAGTGTGCTTATGCATGGGGTGTTCCTGATGGCAGAAAGAGCTGCACCCTCAGTTTTCAAGTGCCATAAGGGCAATCCAAAAGGTGGACAGAAATGACTGAAAAACTAGGCCTGACCTGAATAGCCAGAGAGTCCACTTAAGTGGCTTTCTGGAGAATTTTCTATTTGTGGACCTCCTCGAGAGCTGCACCAGGCAATTAAACCTGCCTACATGGGCAGAAAATCTTTGGGGAAGAGAAGTGGAAGAAATACCACCTGCCCTCCACAGGGTTGAATTGCCCAGGGGAGAGGGGTACAATGAGCTCTGATGGAGCAGGGGTGGGCATGTAATATATACTTCCCTGAACCAGCTTTTCCTGATGGGTGAAGAAGGAGCCCAACCTCTCTGCATGTTTCCAAACTCTACAGCCTGTAATTTCCCTGGAAGATATACCTGTAAAAGCCAGGAACCTGTGGAGTTAGTATTCTCTATATTTTATACCAGCAAGGTGGTGGGAAGGCACCTCTTGCCACCACTAGGCGTAGGGGACCCAAGAAAGATAAGCATCTCCCATGTTACAGAGCCTCTCTAGTACAACGTATATTTATGTATAAATGAATCAATACACCTGTAGGGACTTTTCTCCTCAAAATAAGGGAAGACAGTTCGCCTGTACTTAAATTGGCTTATAAATAAATGTAGATCATAATATATTTGGGTCACAATAGCCTTTGACATGGTTACTCGTGACTACATGGGGATGAGATTAACCTATTTGCCTATTAAATAAAATTTATAATGAAAGCAAATGCATACATGGCTTTGGCAGAGTAGATGTAACTGCCTAATTTGTGCAATATTCAGTATTACTACCCAAATTCAGCTTCATCAGGTCTATAGGTGATGCACTCCTACACTGCAGGTTGTAGTTCTCCCTTGACAAGAGAGGGTCATAACATAATATGGACCTCACCCTCCACATCTATACGTACAGGGTTTTGCTTAGACCAGGTGAGTTTATGACATGATAGCCTAATTCACAAAGTTGGATGCTTTATCATTTAAATTTAATTTCTACTGAATTCATGAACAGTTCTACAACCCTGACTTGCATGAGTAGTCTCGCTGACATCAAAGAGACTATTCATGTGAGTATGGAATGCAGGAATGGGCTCCAAGTAAATGACATCAGCAACATTAAGAGTACACCAAACTGTTCCTGACACATATATATATTTGGGGGAGGGAGGGGAAAGGGAACAAAAAACCTGTCTATTACCCATTCTGCTTTAAGACACTCATCTCTTTCAAGGGAAATTTCCTCCCCTGATTATCACTGAATAAATGGATGTTCTCCATGGCCAAGTTTTATCACAATCTGGAATCACAGAGTCGCCAACTTGGCCCATTAAAAAAAAATCTCACCATTTTTTATATGTGAGAACAAAAAATCTGTCTCATTTCACTATTTTCAGCCAAGCTTCTATTTCACAGAAAGTTCAAACTTTGACCCAAGTATTGAATTCCTGGTAGAGGCTTAGAGCATCTTTCTGTTCTGAATAAACTCCTCAGACACATAGCCTTGGACTGAAATCTAAGGTTTCAAATGGCTGCCTATATGAAAGGGTGCATTGTAACTCTTTTGCTAATATTTTCACTCTTTTAAAAAAATGTGATTTAAAGAGAAATTGCAATTTGTGGCTGATGCCATGTTCTTCCTTTTTACCAGAGTCCTACCTTTTTTGCAGTGAGAGTCTTAAATTCTAGTTTACAAATTCTAGTGTATAAGGAAAGTATTGTCACAGATCTACAAGCCTTCAATATATTTTAAAATATTATAAAGATGACTTTAAACATTGCACATGGTTTTCTCCAAAGTTTTAGAAAAGGATGGAGAGGGACTAAGCCACTAAATAGAATTACTGGTTTAGTTTCTCAGCTACAGCCATCTTTGCATTTTCTAATTCTGTGTAAAGGGCCAAGCCCTCTGATGTGTGTGCTAGAGCAGCCTGGGAGATGTTCTATCGCAACAGTTTTCAACCAGGAGTTCGGGCCCCTCTGGGGTGCTGCGAGCAGGTTTCAGGGGATCCTTCAAGCAAGGCTGGCATTAAACTCACTGAAGCCCCGAAGCACAGGGCTGAGGCCATGGGCACTGAGCCCTGCCACCCAGGGCTGAAGCTGAAGCCTGAGCAACTTAGCTTCATGGGGCCCCTTCCCTGCTTGCTACCCCCTAACGCCAGTTCTGACTTTTGTAGACACAGGTGGGCCATGGAGTTTTTATAGCACTCTGGGGGAGGGGAAGACAAGGTCAATAAGGCAGACCCGGCACAGAGAAGCTGGGAAGAAGGTGGATTAGAAGTTGCTATGCATGCAGTACCTCACAAAATGTATCTTGTTACCCTTGAGTGATCCACTCATGCCTAACTACCCCAGGTTTAGGTTCTGTATCCAGCAGTGTGGCACAAAATTTTCATACCAGAGAAGGGAATCTGGGCCAATGTGTTCAGTGATGAATGGAAAAGATTTATAAATGAAAATGGCAAATTACATCTGAATGGCTCATTTTGATATTGTCTTCAACTAAGTTAAAAGTAGGTGAGAAGTTTTCAGACAAGGAAAATGTTTGAGGGCAGAAAAAGAAACTGGATTGGAGAGGCTTCATGGTTGAATGAGACTAGGAGTCAGGAGACCTCGATTCTAATCCCAGTGTCCCAGTAACCTGCTGTGTGATTTTGGGGAAGTCACTTCACCTCTCGGTGCCTCTCTTTATCCTCCCACCCTGTGTTTGTCTTGTTTATTTAGGTCATAAACTCTTCAAGGTGAGAAAAGTCTCTCATTATCTGTTTTCACAATGCCTCGCATAATGGGGCACTGCGTTTGGGGCTTGGTTGGCTTGCCAACCTGTACGACATGAAGGAAAACCTTGCAACAATAAGTTTTTATTAAATATCAAATGACTGCCCATACCTTTATACTTTTCCACTCCCAACCATCTCCTATTTGCTGTGAATGTTTAATGAACTCTGCACAACACTGCTTGAATCTATTTTCTTCCAGATAGAAGTCATCTTCAGTATCCAAGTTAAGTGACATCTGCACAGAAAATGGAATGTTAGTATTGGCAGCTGCAATGAAAACTACAAATAATTTGTGCTGATTTTATATATATAAGGTATACAAGCAATTCAACAGTAAAATAACCAGTACATCAACAATTTTAAATAAATATTTTTGTTTCTTAAACTAAAATAAAGATTTATTTCTTTGATTGTAAGGTCTTTACAGAAGGGACTGTGTCTTATATGATTCCAATCCTGCACATACTTCCACCTATGAGCAACTTTACAAATATGAGTAGTTCTAGTAAGACCAAACTATCATATAAATTCTAGAGGCAGGCCCTCAACACTTAATAAGGGGGTTTTCCCAAAGAAAGGGCCCAGCCCTATAAAATGCTGAGCACTTCCTGTGAGATGTGAGTGCTCTGAACCCTCATTAACACCAAGAGTAGTTGAGCATTCTTAGCACTTCTCAGGACAACACATTGCACGACTAGGCCCCATCGGTCAAATCCTGGTCCCATTGAAGTCAAAGGTAAAACTGCTGTAGGTTTCAACAGGACATGACCGCCCAGTGTGCCACTACGGCCAAAAGAGCTAATGTGATCCTGGGATGCATAAACTGGGGAATCTTGAATAGAACGTTCCTTTACCTCTATATTTGGCACTAGTGTGACCGCTGCTGGAATACAGTGTCCAGTTCTGGTGCCCATAGTTCAAGAAAGATGTTGGTAAATTGGAGAGAATTCAGAGAAGAGCCATGAGACTGATTAAAGGATTAGAAAACGTGTCTTATAGTGATAGACTCAAAGAGCTCAGTTTATTTAGTTTAACAAAGAGAAGGTTAAAAGGTGACTTGATTACAGTCTATAAGATATACAAATATTTTATAATGGGCTCTTCAGTTAAGCAGAGAAAGGTATAACACAATCCAATGGCTGGAAGTTGAAGCTAGACAAATTCAGACTGGAAATAAGGCATACATTTTTGACAGTGAGGATAATTAAGCATTGGAACAATTTACCAAGGGTCATGGTGGATTTTCCATCACAGACAATTTTTAAATCAAGATTGGATGTTTTTTCTAAAAGATCTGCTCTAGGAATTATTTTGGGAAAGTTCTATGTCCTGTGTTATACTGGAGCTCAGACTGGATGATCACAATGGTCCCTTTTGACCTTGGAACCTATAAATCTAGGACCAGGATTTTGCCCTAAAGCAACATTATTTGAACAAAGTTATAAAAAAAGTTAAATATTACAATGGTAACTCAAATTAGGAAATAAAGTCTATCTTCAAACTGATATAAATTCCTTGGGAACAGACTGTGGGATAGATTCTCTGCTGGATGTAACAGAAGAGGGATACTGCAAGGGAGCAGATAATGTGTCGGCCCCAGCAGAGATTAAAGCATTCCTCAAACTATCAATGTACTTTAATTAACGCTGGCTGGTTATAGCACGCAAGTGCCATCTACCAGTTGCAGATTGCCAGAATACAACATGATTCAACCACACCCTCTCCCCACCCACCTATAGGAGAGGTTTTAAGGGGATGGTGCAGATGCTAGATGGGGAGACATGGCCAGTTTACAACCTCTTGTAGCACAAAAACTGGCTCTGTGTTTTTATGCTTTCTATAAGACATCATGAGCCCCTAAGGTGCTATATACAAATATTTAATGATAAAATAAATAAATAATAATAAATAATTATATATCATATGTCTGGGCAGTAAACGTGGGCTGACAGCCATACCTTCTCAGAGGAGGTGCTCAACAGCTAGCAAGATCTAGCCCTAAATCACTAAACTCCCACTCTCCCCACATAACAAATGTATTTATATAATTTAAACCACATTATTTACAGTGTGAATGAACCAAACCTTTCTCTATATGTTTCCTAGACGTGAGAAGAGGAGAGCAAAGGAAAACTATATATGATTAACATGTCAGTGATTCCTAAGTTTTTCATTCTATTCGATCAAAGATGCAAAACAGCAATTAAGTACAATGCATGTAAAGATCCTGAAGTTCTAATGAACATTTTAAATAGAACTATGTGTTTTAGTAAACACCTAGGGTAGGTTAAGGCATACCCTAGGGCAGAGGAAGAAACGAAGGGGGAGAGAAATACTGTGGTGAGCATGGGGGAGACAATCTGGATGGGGAGAAGAATAGAGAGAAGGAAAGGGAGGTGAGCTTTTCGAAGCACGGGAAAGGAATGACCCTGCACACAACAAGGTACAAAAACAGGCAGGCCCCAAGGGAAATGCACAGACAGAGGAACGGGTCTCAATATCCTCGGGACTCCGTCTAGACACAGGATGGGGAGTATACAGGGTGCAATTTATAAACACGGGGTGGGGATATCCTGGGTGAAGTCACAGTGCATCGGGACCCAGCATGGGGAGGGAGTCCCTCGGGACACCGGGCGGGAGAGGCAGCACGCTCGCAGAGCACTGCCCGCACTGCCACATACCGCTGACAGCACTGCGCCCCTCCTCCGCCAACTGCCAGTCTCATCAGGTGGGGACACTCAGCAGGCTCCTCCCCTCCCCGCTCCGCAAGGGAACGGCCCGGCTCAGGCAAGCGTTACAGAGGCAAGGCCAGGAACCCCAACGCAGCCTGCTGCGCATGCGCCCACGCCCATTATGAGCAGCAAGGCACAGAGCGCGAGTGTCCGCGCGGGCAGGTTTGGGCGGAGCGGAGCCTGGTGAGGAGCCTAGCGATTAGGAGGCGTCCGGCTGAGGCGCCCCGGTGTCCCCCAGCCAGGCCTTGGGAGAGCCCCGCCCCCTCCGGGGGCAGCGTTAGACATGAGCTGAGGGACCAACCGCTCGGGCCCTCGCCTCGGCAGCCCTGGGCTCGCGCTCTGGCTGTGCCCAACCTGCCTTTCCCTAGCGGCAGGACGTGCCGAGCTCCGGGGCGGCCTGGCACAAGGGCAGGCGAGTCCCGCCCAAACCCCCTTCCTGCTCCAGGTGACCTGGGGCCTCCCGGTCAACCCCAGCGTGTGGCGCGATCCGCGAACACACCGACTGGCCCCTCTGCACAGCTCACCTCGTAGCGAATAGCGGGTGAGCGCAGAACGTGCGTCCCGGCTCGCAGCGGCCCCGGCGTAGGCTTAGTACCGGGGAGAGGAGGAAGTTCTGCTTAGCGAGGAAACGTGGCCCCGCTATTTCTGCCTTCCCCCAGTCGCGGTGCCCATAAGGCCCAAGCCCTGATCCCGCACTTCAGAATGCTTGGGAGGCTCAATGGAGTCACAGCAGCAGGCAGCAAGTTCAAAGAGCTCTGGCCTGTGACTCGCGCCCAGCCCCATGTGAGCAGCACATAGAATGTGAGCCTTTTGAATTATTATTCTTTCTAAGCAGTGTACTCCTTTTTTTTTTTTTCCAAAAAAAAAAAAAGTGTCGTGCAGTCCTTGAAGCTGAATCCTCTGTCAGTTCGCAGAACGATTCTCTGAATAAAGGAAGTTTCCCCACATTAGATTATAACTTTCAAGTTACCACCAGGCTGGCATCAACTGGAAGTAGTGAGCCTACTATAGGCCAAATGTTCTGTATCCTGTTACCACTTAGCTCACCTATCCAGTCCTTCGTATTTGTGGCATTTAGATGTATGTGGCTGAGTATAGCAGTATGGCCACCTATAGGCTTCCCCCTTCCCACCGCTTTTAATGAATGCTACTAAAAGACAGATGGCAAAACTAGAGAATTTTAGTTCAGATTGGGTTCACTACAGCAGCCCAGTAATCCTACTTTTATTTGAATATTTATAATTATTTATATAGCTTTACCTTTCCTACCCCATGACTCCAGAGAGAGCGAGAGAGTGTGTGTGTGTGAGTGAGACTTCCTGTATTGAAAACAACTGGGGGAAAAACATGGAGTAAGGATAGAAGAGATCACCTGAGTGTTAATCACTTAATATTTCTAAGCATAAGCTATTGTTTTTTTGGGAAAATAATTTTAATTATTTATTAATTTTTTCACAGCCTAAACCAAAGTATATCAGTCATGTACCTTTCTGGGCAAGGATTAGCACTTTTTATTTTCTTTCAGTTTGTGGATATACATGGCCTCACCTAAAACCCATTCAGGTCAATTGAAGATTGCTGTTGTAGATGTAGCCTTTATCATCAAATAACTTTAACTTTATAATATAATTAATAGCTCACCTACTACAGCCATATGAAGTAGATGAGTGTTTTTCTCTTCATTAGACAGATGGGAAAACAGAGAGGTTAAGTGACTTACCCAAGGACACAGCGAATCTGTGTCAGGACAGGGAATGGAACTTGAGTTCTTGGTTCTCATGGCCTGTACCTAGACCACATTTCTCAATACCATGTGTATGCCATTGTGTATTTGGATAGCTCAGCGTAGTTTCAAAAGGAAACAACCTGGGGGGTTAGGAAGAAGCATTCCTTATGGGCATTTTATTTCATACCTGCTCACTTCAGGGTTTCTTGCATCTTCATCTGGTTGCTGTTGGAGACAGGATACTGAACTAGAGGGACAACTGATGCGATAAAGCACTTCTTGCATTCTGATATTTTTTGGCAAATTTCCCACAGATGATGGCTGTTTTGGTAGTATCTACTTTACTTTACTTTAAATTATAATAATCTTTTCTTTCAAACTTTCAAGCTTCTTTCACAAATGTTTCACATCATCCTCTTTGTTACATGTCTCACCTTCCTTGTCTGTCTTTCAACATTTTCCACATTAGACTAATATAGATTGAATTGGGGCAGGGACTGTGGGTGAAATCCTGGTCCCCAAAAAGTCAATAGTAAAACTCCTGTTGACTTCAGTAGGTAGAGCCCTACGCAGATACAAATTTATATCTGCGGATATAAATTGGTATCTGCGGAACCGCAGGGCTCTCCCAGGAACCACAGCAGTGAAAGGAGCAGAATGTGGGGCTGCCGCTCCCAGGAGCCAGCACCCCATGCCAGCAGCTCCTCCAACGCAGCTGTACTACCCCCAGCCCCACCCACTGGGATGGGCACCAGTCTCACCGGCAGCTGTCCCTGGTCATGTTCTTGTATTCAAGCAGCACGCACGCCCCCAAATAGGAGACGCAGACAGCTGCGTGGAAGGGACAGGGCTGGGGGCGGTACAGCCATGCCAGAGGAGCTGCTGGTGTGGGGCGCTGGCTCCTGGGAGCGGTGGCCCCACGCTCTGCTCCTTTCGGTGCTGTGGTTCCTGGGAGAGCCCTGCAGTTCCACAAATACCGATTTATATCTGCGGATATAAATTTGTATTTGCGCAGAGCTCCATCAGTAGGGTCAGACTTTCACCCTGTGTGTTTATTTCTCTAGACCCATGAAAACATAAGATGCTACATAAAAATTAACAATTTAAGGCATCAAAAGGTGATAATATAAAACAGGAAAATTGGATTATGGGGCTCTGACAATAATTAAGAGACCTCATTTGAAATAAAAAATGTATACACACAGAGAACCATTTTTTAAAATTAGCTTTGATTAATCATTTTTAAACCTAATAAGATCAGAGTCAACATGAAAAAACAGCATCTGTAGACAATGGAGCAAAAGTCGTTATAATAGGACATTGTGTGATGGTATCATAAGAGGACACCATTATTAAGTTCTTTAATAGTCATACATCAAAACCAAAAATAACCAAGATAGCACTGTCAATTTCATTAAAACCAGTAAATCAGAATCTTCTAAGTCAACGTATAATGATGTCTTAAATATTTTGTACAGGATCTCAACCACATCAGAACTACATATTTGTTGTATTCCCAATGAGTGAGTTATTTAGGCTTACCAGATTAGATTCTACTCATATGCACATGGATGTCAGTCCAGAATAACTTCATAGATTTTCAGTGAGATTCAGGTTCCTAAGTCACTTTTGAAAATGGGACTTTCCCACTGCTTATGGACTACAGGAGTTAAATATCTGTGTAAATAGTTTGAGAGTCCTCCAGTGGCACTTATGTTCTATGTTTTAGTAACTAGCCAGAACAGCTATATAAAATTGCATGTTGTGTATATTAAACACAGTTATTTGGACCCATCATGTCCATGTGGTTTTCTCATACTATTACAGTTGTGTAAAGAGCAAAAACCACAACAGCTCCTAAGTCACTTAGGAACCTTTCAAAATTTAACCCAATAACATTCAAACTTCAGATTGAGTCACCACTAGGATCTGGTTTAGAGGGTATAACTCTTCAGTTCGGCATTCTGAAATTATCATTCCACATTTAACATTAGGAAAGCAAAGATGGATGGCTACAAGAGCTAAAGGAGAGAGTGTTTCATTCTTGATTCCTAGAGAGTTTCTTACCCCAAACTGATATACAATATGATGTTTAGAGAAGATTTTCCCCCATAAGGTAGATGTGGGGGGGGGGGAGTCGAGTGAAGCTGACTACACAAGAAATAGCATTCTGGAGCAGAACAATTATTATCAATCTCATCTGGTATCCTGCCTTTGAGCCTTTGCCAGATGTTTCACAGTGAGGTGAAAAGCCTAATAATGAACCAAATTGTTCAAAGCTAAGCTATGGGAGGAGAGTTCTTCCTGAGCACTGTTCTAATTCATCGTGTGCCTTGATGCATGGGGAAGGACTGATCTTGTATTATTTTCTTTCCCAATCTAACAGCAGATGCTCTTCTTATAGGGTCAATTTTTTAAAAAATTACGTAGATAAAACTGCAAACAAGGTAAACAAAAAGAGCTTAAACCCCCCGCCACTTGACAAAATAAAAAACAGTAAATTCTCTAGGTTGCACCATATGGTGACAGGTCTTCACTGATCAAAAAATGTCCAAATAGATTTCTGTAACAAAACAAGATAGATATTTCTGAATAAACATTGACTGAAGAGAAACAAACTCAGCCAAAATGAAAAATGTATATCTGCAACATTCTAAACAAAATGTATTTAAAATAAAAGTGGAGAAATAGCTTTACTGTAGTAAAACATAACAAAAGTACAAGAGTCTTGCTCCTCGGCCTTTACAATACTCATTAGTATCATTCATTCCAGCTCTCTTTTTGACCAATCTAGAAGTGGCCATCATTACAAGCTGTTGACCACACATGTGCATCCTCACCAAAATGGGTTTATTTTCTGAACTTTCCTCTGCTGCACTGAAAACATGTTCTTCGGAGCCTTCGGTCTTTACAATTTTTTTTACAATGATTCATACAAAGGCTGAGGACTTGAGCTTCAACTGTACTAACACTTGGTGAAGCTAAATGAGGGAGAAAGGAAAAGTGGGTCTAGGTCACCTTTCTTAATGTTGGAGCTGCCTGGGAGCAAACTGGCCTCTCACAGCTGCTCTAACTTACACTGTCTCGAATAGTCTCTGGGGACTACCTTTCAGCCTCTTATCACATCTGATCCCTACAGTGTAATCCTTTTTATAAAAGTGACTTAAGCTGACTACATCACTGGGGGAATCTCCAGCACATAAACCTGACTGCATCTTTAGGGGAATCTCCAGGTTCCCATTTAGGGCAGCTTTAAGTTTCCTTGGCACAACTGACAGTCTGGACAGAATATCTGGGCCTAGATATTATCTATATTATCTATACTCTCAATTCTGGTTGAGAGTGCAAACAAGATAAGATTTAAAAGTACTGGCTAACACATGCTAACACACACATTTAAAAAATGTACTTTAGACAAGGTACATTGCCTTTAATATATGCTAAACCAGCCAACTTAAAGCCTTGACTCCTCCCTAGGTTTTAACCTGGCCATTTTAAAGTATGTTCAAGTATAAATTGCCTTGTCTAGTCTAGATTTCTGGAACATGTTTGTTAGGATATTTAGCAAACATGATACTAACCCACCTTTTATCTCAATCTAGACAAGGCCTGAAGTTTTTTTTCACTCACCTTAGCTACGCTCCAAAAGTTTGAGAAACTTTCAGAATTCAGATCCAGCTAGTAAATAAAAATCCAGTTGTTCTTTAATTCAGCTTCTTAGTATAAAATCTTCCATAACAATAGCTTATTCATCCAGATGGAATTCTACCTACAGCATGACTGAACATATGCTATTTTCTAATAAAGAAATCATTGAATACATCAGGTAGAATGATATTCTGGAGAACACTTTTCTTCATTCTGTTCAATGAACCATGCTAGATTACTTTTCTGATCCAGCAACTCTTGATGATTACCACCAAAGAAATCAGTGCTGAAGAGGACTTCTCGTATGGTCCTGATTCTGCAA